CAAAAGATTCTTTTCTATTTCATAGTCTCTTCTTAAAAGGGGTCTTGTTTGATTGGAATATTCTTCTTTGTTTAATTTGGACTTCGAAAGGAGTCATCTTTATCACTACTTGTGGTATTGAATGAGTCTTTATTTAAGTATGCCTGGATTGGGATAGTCCAAGAGAAATTAAAAAATCTCTACTTTTACCTTAGGGAGCTTTTCACTACTTGAGAAACTTAGAGAAGGGATGGAATTTCTTTGTGTGGATCCACTTCACCTTTTAATATTATACTGTTTCTTGGAATCAAATATATACAGTTGGAGAGAAACTTTTTCTAGAACTTTCTTTTCTATATTACCCATGATGTAATAGGAATATGTGAGTATAATCAATATGAGCTTATTTACTTTTCCTGAAATCAACATGTTTCATGTCAACCAATTACCTTTGGTGAGAATTGTGCTACCCAAAATTTAGGATCAAAATGAGATAGACAAAATTCTACAGAAAATCATGAAAGCAATAACTTTAAGAGAAAAATAATTAGTTAATATAAAATATATTAGTTTATAAAATATAAATAAATTTTTATTGATTATATTTTTACATTTCAATAATATTAATAAAATATATTGCAAATAGGTTCATAAAATTAATATGAAAGACAAACTCAAAAAGTTTAAATAATTATTTAAATATAATAAAATATAGAAATAAAGTATATAGAAGATAGAAGAAGAGAAAATAAAAGAAGAAGGCCTTATAACAATTATAATAATTAAGATTGGATATAGAATAAAGTGATTAAATTTGATTTTTATTAGAACTTAATAAAAGAAAGGTCTTTATCTAAACTACTAATAGAATAATAAATCATTCTTGAATTTTTGTATATAATCAGAAAATCAATAGAATTATATATATAGTTTACAACAAATTAATATGACATAATGGTTAATATAACGTCAAACTTTAAAATTAAACTGTATTTGTCCGTGACGTACTATATCATTGCGTAACTATGGCGATATAACTACAAAGATGGTAATTCACGTGATATAATAGCTAAGATTACTATAAGTGGCTTTGGCACAAAATTTAACAAGGCTGCGCGCATATAACTCGCATTTTTGTAATTATTCGACTGCCTATTTAATATTCAAGATCGTTCTACGATCGCCCATATTATTTAACATAGAAAACGCTTAACCACTTTCCGAGATGCGGGAATCGGAAAAATATCGTAAAGATTCGCGTTATAAAAAGTACGTTCAACTTGTAGAGAAGACATTACAATCTTTCGATAAAGAGGTTAATGAATGGGCCGATTTCATATCTTTCTTGGGACGGCTTTTAAAGGTTGAGTACAGATACGTAAATCTCATATTTGTTAAGTCGTCCCGAGTATTCGCTTACCACCTGGTTTTGTACAATTTGGCGTTCGTTCATAATAACACTTGTCATAGGCCTTTCAAGCATATCCTCAATTCCCCGTGATACCTCGAAAGTTAGTTGTTGCAAAACGGCTTGCCCAGTCATTAAATCCAACGTTACCGCCTGGAGTACATCAAAAGGCATTAGAGGTCTATGCACACATTTTCAAAAGTATAGGGGTATGCCAAATATTTCTTTGATCGTAGTTTATTCACATGATAAAATGTTGATCCAAAGGGAAATATAATTTATCAAAGAAAATAATGTTAACATTTAGACTGACCAATTAGCCGAGGATCTGCCTGTTTACTCTCATGGCCTTTTCCCATTTCTTCAATACGCTGCAATGAATGTGAAGGTGTCTATTATTCTATTTTGTTATCGATTCAAAAAACTTAGGATGTTTATATTCATAAAAATTTAGCCACAATTATTAGAAATATATGAGGTGTACTTTCTTCCACTGCGTACGCGCTTACGTCCAGTCATGAAAGCTTTCATCACCGCGTTGTTGCCTGGGCTTGAAGAAGAGGGTAGCGAATCATTTGACAAAGTATACTATAACTATTATGAAAAGAAAAAAACCATATTTTTTTTAACAAAAAAAAAAAAGAAAGAAAGAAATTATTCCACTAATTAATACATATCGATTTTAGGTTTTGTCTCTTTTTGACGAATTATCGGGAACAGTGGAGCAATCATATTTTCTTCAGTGTTTGTGGCTTGTTTTGATTACATCGCCTTCCTTACGAACTCCCGCGTTGAATTATTTATCAGGCCAAATGCAAAAAATTGCGTCGAAAGAGGGTTACTTATTATTATTAATAATTTCTAGTTTATCTATGTTTTTGTATGACTATTTAACAAACGATATTTATCAACATTATTATAGATGTAGCTGTGGTGCTTGGAGATGATGCGGGATTAATGGTTCGAGCATTATCAGCTACGCTAGGAGACAAAAATGTTTTAGTTCAGCGAGCGGTACTTGAATTACTAGTTGTTAGTTTTCCGTTTAAGGTTAAAAACTTTGGAGAGTAGGTATTATTTTGAGAGATTTTAAGAGTTTTATGCTGTAACTTACGATAAATTTTTTAGAATTATACATCAAGATGATTTTGTCTTATTAATGAAATCCGTCGCATCAGTCGTGCTGCGAAAAGATATGTCGTTGAATAGAAGACTCTATGCATGGCTTCTAGGACCTGATGAGAATCCAGAACATCAGATTCAACATTTTTATGACTACGGAAAGAGTCCAATGGTTTCTGCTCTAAAAGTATGACATTTGGGTGCATCGATAAATGCTGATTTTGTGGCGCGTTTTAAAATGTGTTATGGTTTCTTCGAAACGAATAGGGTTTATTTTTTACGCAGACCAATGATTTGATTAGTGCACAAAAGCCATACAAAATTTTGATTTCACTGATGGACAAGGAGGAGATTGGACAGCCTCTGGTACAAGATCTATTGATTGATGTGTTATGGTCTCTAAAGGATCACGTTGAAAGATCACCATTTGGGACAGAAGTGAGTGCCATTTTTATTATCTTTTGCATCGAGATCACATTTAAATAATAATTTAATATTTTTTATTCAAGTTGTTGCAAACGGCAAACATGTTTTTAGAAATGATTGATCCGTATTTAATTTGGATGAAGTTATATGAATTGGTTCAGAACAGATTTTCATTAAATGATGGTTTTGACACGGCGGTGAGTATACGAATATCATTAATAAGCGTGGGATTAGTATTCAGCCCGTAAAATTAAAAAAATATGAGCGCCGATTGTTTTATCGGTCTGATAACAATCCAATAACGGGTTTGAACGATCGCTAACAAATAAAAATTCTTGGGGGATGGGATCGCGCGAATTTGACATTTTAATTTTAATTTATAATGTAGGCGTTGGAATTGATAGGATTCGTGTTAAAATCCTTTAAATTGCACGAAGAAGAAATTGAACAAAAGCATTTGCCGTTATTCTTAATTGCTTTGTTGTGTCAACTTCATGTGAGTTTCATAAGCCTGCTGGCAATCTTCGTTTCTGTATAATCACTAATTCAACTCTATTATTCCAGAAATTTGCAGATGATTCAAATTTTAATACGCATATTTCGCAAGTTGAATCAGCATTACTTTTAGCGTTTGATCTTCTTAAAAGAATACCGAATAGTGTTTTTAACCGTCACGCTCGTGATCCCACGGAGGTTCTAGCAGAAAAACGAAAATCCACGATCGACGAGGCTTCCCAGGGAAAAGAAGATGGTGAAACGAAGGATTCAAGTGAGGAATCTCGAGTGGAACTCCATTTTCATACAGGGATGGATCCAATGGAATATGTTCATGACTTCTATCTTGATAATGAGGAAATTGAAAATAAAGAGTTTGGTGGCATTTATGGCCGTTTTTTGGCAGAGGAATTATTAAAGGCAATTCGAAGTTTCTTGAACCGTTTAATTATTCAGTCAGTATTGGTTAATGGTCAGAATACCAATACAGGTGCTTTGTCCGCAGTGATGGACTATGGTTGTGGACTGTTGAAGGCAATTTCAACGAGAATTAGTCGTATGGATTTCGAAACTCGGGAACATAAAGAGATAATATGTAGATTATACGAAGGAGAGTGGATCATGTCTTTATTGAAATGCACCTATATGGTCAAACATTTTAATATCATTGATTCGGCGCTATCAATTCTTCTCGACCTTATAATTGATAAAAAACTTGTTTTGCCTCGTTTACTTGATTCCAAGCATCAAATACGCGAAATTGTTGATAATTTATGGAGTTTTCTTGGATCTCAGCACAATGTCCTTCATTTAAGAGCCGTCCAGTTAATTTGGAAACTCAAAGATATCTCACAAACAAACTATGTTGAAGCCGTAATTTCGGAGTACCTGATAGAAAAGGACACTTTGACACGGATTACCAATTTCGAACGTTTCGGTATCTTTTGGTTACTCTCTGAAGGGTTTAGTGATAAATGTATGAATTTCACGCAACCAATGTTTTTGGTTCTGGACTCTTTACGAGATGAAGACCCAACGAACCGCCGGGCAGGTGAAACGTGGATGAGGTGGAATCATAAATCGTATCTTCGAATATTGCAGCCTATGATAGAAATTCTTGTAGATGCCACCATAATTCGTCAAACAACGGAATGGCAAGCTGGAAATGAGACATTTGAGATACTTTATTATGAAAAACCGTTTAATCAGGCTCGCGTAGATTATATTTTCGAAACATTATCTACAATTTGTAGAGTCGGCGGTCGATCATTTTTGAAGGCCATACACACTTCGTTTGTGAAAACCGATTTGATTTCGTCCTGCACTTGGCTACCCACGGAAGTTGGAAGTTCGTTGACCTCAATAACATATAGCGAGCTTTTTATCAAGACCGGCCTGTTGTACATCGAGTCGGAAGTCCCGGAGAGTTTATCATCATCGATGAGTACCTTGAATCAGAGTATTCACATGCACGTTACCGAGTTTCTCCTTCGCCTAATCAAGATACAAGATTTAGTGAAAATTGACATGATTCACTTGGTCCACGAAGTGATTCTACGGAAGATGCTCTACTGCATTTATATAAATCAACTAAATTTACAGGCCAGATTATTGCCACTGTTGCGTTCTACAATCACAAGCATCGGACCGTTAAGTGAATTCCTTGTGAATGGGTCACTTAACCCAAATTCACCGGTAAACAAGAAATTTCCAATGGATCCAATTTATTCGGGTTCTCCGTCCAGCGTCGACAGAACTTTTGTGAAAGATGACAAGGATAAAAACGCAAATTCGAGGTACTATAGAACCGGCGAGGCTACTATCCTCATGGTGAAAGTTTTGACCGAGGCCATATCGAGACCATCCAATCGCCCTCTCTTGCAAAAATGGATGGATCTGATTGAAATTTCATTGCCATATTTTCGGCCATCTTTCAACACAGTTTTGGCGCCGTTGATTCAGTGCATCTGCGAACAATTAAATCAATGGAAATCAGAAGCCAACTATCATTATATTCTTGTGGCCAATAATAACGAATCGAAATCGAACGCCAATGATCCGGCAATGTCGGATTGGGATATTATAACGTTGTTGAATGGTTTCGAAGAGGTGGTGAAAGATTGTCTTAACAAACATCCCAATGAAGATGTCGACTCCATCCCTTACGGGGTTTCGAAAGGTTACGATACGACGCTCGGACTTCCCGCGTTAACAGGCTATGTCACTGGAGTGTTTTCAATGGATACTGGCGTTTACGAGACCACCACACCTGAACAAAAAGTTTGTTCCCGATTTTTTAAATTCTATTAGTTTGGTTCTCCCAGAACTCTGTCGATCTTTTAATCTCGTTGCTTCATTTCAGCCCCGTGATTACATACTATACACGGTTTTCCCCGACATAGTTTCCATTATATTGGACATTTGGACGATTTTTAAAAATGTGTTCTCGCCAAATAATGAACAAAGGGTTGGCGTAGATCCATTCGTTATTTCACTTGAACACACGGGGAAAAGGATTAAAGAGCGAATCAAGAAGTTGCTAGAGGAGCTGCATAAAAGGGCACACGCAGAACTTGTTGAAGCCTTTGTCGAACTTTGGTACATAGAAAACCCGGATATCACTGCGGCGATTTCTGAGGTAATCGATGGAAAAGTTTATCCCGGAATGAACAAGATTATTTGTTATTTAATCATAAGAAATTTAGGTGATCATAAGAGACGTGGACAGCACGGTGATAGAAGTCCTAAAAGCCATTCCAGGCTCCTCCCCGCAGAAAGTCATCAACACGCTTCTGATAAGCGCGCGTAATCGATCCACCGGTTCACATCCGCAAAAAAATAAAAAACTCGCGGCGAGACCTGGAAAGTTGTGAGTATTGTTGCTCGATTTACCACTGTTGCAACGCCATCATTACTGAGCCGTACTTTTGTTTTTTTTTTTTTTTTTTTTTTTTTTTGTTTGTCCGTTTATTTATTTTCGATCTAAAGGACTGATATCCTGATTCTACGATTCCTCGAAGTCTACGCTGACTCTTTGGACAAAGCAGACCCCTTGATCGAAGTATGGCCTCAATGCATGTCTTACATAAAGGATTTCGCGCAGACATCAGCTTACAAGAATTTGTTCCCATCCATTTTAAGGTTTCGTTCGTTTTCGAATGTGCTTTTAAGATAAAAACCCATAATGGTCACAATTTAACGGAATATTCGTAAATCTCGACTTAACAGGTTCATGCATGGATTGGCTGATAGATTATGTCTGACTTCATATTTTGAAGACAAGAAAGTGCGAAAGGAAATGCAGGTATTATCATAAATTTTGAGTATTATTATTTTTATTATTACCAAAATTATCACCATTTTATTTCTTACATGTTTTGTCCTTTTAAGGACTCTTACCAACGCGTTTTGGATTATTGCATTTTAATAGCCGGACGTTCGTATGATCAAGGATTATGGCTTAGAAGGACAATTCCTCAGGAAGGAGATGATAGAGCCAGTGGTGATGGTAAGGGCATTCTTTCCTTGGATTGATCTGCTTCACCTTTGAAAGTTCTCCTTTGAAGGTACACTTTACATTAGAAACCGAAGAAAAGGAAGCAGAATCGGGAAGATTAATAAACATCATGCCCGAAGAAAAAAAGGTGGCGTGGAAATCAAAGGAAGCACTCTTGATAGAACAGGCATGCAAATTGAACTGTTTGCTTTCATATTGAACCAATTCCGGACTATCTCGTCTCAATTTATTTTTCAACAAAATTTTTTAGATAAACATATACTTCGCCGAGGTTGTGATTCCGGATATAAGACGATTGCTCGTCGATCAGGACCGGATTATTTCCATAGTAACTAATCTTATGTACTATGTTATCGCGCCAGCGTTGAAGAATCGTCCCAAGTAATTATGTAAACGCATTCATCAATATTGTTTGAATGAATTTGATGCGGACACTCTTTATAATTCTGGTTTAAAATTTTTAGTACTGGTGTGAGTTCCGTGATACTCAATCTTCTTTATGAAACTTCCAAGATACCCTTTGTATATCGGGTGTGGCGCAAGGAGGTATGGGATGTTTTCACGGATAATCGATTCTTCAACATGAGTCCATCGGCAGCAAAGAAATGGCGTGCTATAATGCAAACAATTATGACTTCGGAAAAAGAGAGATTTGGTGAAGTATTGGGTAAGTTTAAAAATTCAGTGTCACGCTTGTGCACGCGTCTTGTCATCATCTCTTTAATTTTAATTTTTTTTTTTTAAATCGCCACAAGCTCGTATAACCACCACAATCGCCAACGCTTTGTTTGTTAATAAGGAACAGGAGTCTTTGAACCGTGCCTTGAATCTCCGAAGACTCTCTTATATATTATTTTGCGGCAAATTAGATCAATACTTAAAACAATTGCCTAGCATAGCTGAAAAATTGGTGGAATTGTTCAAGTTGGGTTTTGTCGAATTAGTGCATTCAGAGGTAAGGACAATAATAAGATATCGTGTGGTGTTTTCAACAATCGACTCAAAGAGAAATTCTTGCAGATATATCTGTGTTTGCGAGTGCTGATGTGTCGCGTTTCTAACCAACATCTTTCAAACTTTTGGCCCGGTATTCTCACCGAATTGGTAAGGCTTGGTGACATAAATTTGATAATTACCTGATCCTTCGGATATTTAATTGTACCCTTCATTAGTTTTGTCTATACGGGTCCTTCGTCCAAAAAGAAAACAATAAAAGTACGGCCGAACAACCTGAAGTTGCCAAGTCCCTCTTGGCAGCATGCAAATTCCTGGATTTACTATTTGTGATTCAGACGCACGATTTTCAGGTGTAAGTTGATTTTTTTTTTTTTGATCTCGACTTCCCGAGATTCACGCGTATGACGGATATTTACTGTGATCATAATTTATAGGTTTGAATGGATGTTTATTGCGGATACTGTCAACGTGATAACTCGTTCACTCGAATGGTCGCCTTACGCGCTACTGGACAAGTTGGGAAGTCATTTGTCAGGGAAACAAGAGAATGTGTCAACGGTAATTATTGAACCCTTTTCTTACGCCAATATGCGGGTTGCGTATTAGTTAACTTGATTGATTTCTTAGGCAAGTCTAGATAACCTGTCGAACAGCCTATATATGAAATCGAGATCGTTGCTATCGTCGACCACTTCTATTTCGGTCAATGAAGGGAAACGTCCGCTATTAAAGTTGCGAAGTATCAGCAACGTAAGGCAACTGGAACCTTTCCTGAAGGAAATAAGTTTGTATGCATATCAATCAACGTATACACTCGCGGAACCCGATTTTCCATATATTGAGGATTGGTTAGAGGGCGATTTGTTAGAGTATAATAGTGCGGAAGTGGGTAATGTGGAGGCGAGCGGAAGTGATAATTTTTAAAACGATTCTTTAAGGGAATCGGTGTGCACTTTATTTGTAACCATTATCTATTTATTAATCACAACCCTGATTTAATTATTGGCATAAAAATTGAACGCTTGACGTTTAAACGACGAACCTTTCGGCCTGTATGTGATGCAATACGCGTGCTTACATTGGTCACTTAATTGAGTGAGGTTTGGCGTCGCGTAGAGTTATACCGTATAAACTTACTTTATAGATTTCGAATATATAAATCTTATAAGGTTTAATAAAATTTATAAAAATATAAAGTTTCATAGATTTTAGAATTTGTGAAATTTCTACGAGACAAAATTTTAAAGTTACATTTTATCACGTTATATAGCAAAAAAAAAAAAAAAAGAAAATAAGCATAACGCGCGTAAGTAATTACCTACGTTTCATCAAGGAGACGCATGTCAGTCGGAAACGTGTCTGACATCATTTTTTAAATGGAGACTTCACAAAATTTAATTCAAGCTAAAAAAATTTGTACATTTTTAAAACCTACCCTACAAGAAATGAAGAATTGGCAAAGGAAATTTCTTCTATGCGTCAAGAAGAATACTATTATACAAATATACGAGCTATCTTACAAACCAACTTTTCGACAACCATAGCTGTTTTACACGACTTCTATGAAATAATAATTTTTTCTGCAGTTACTCTCAAAATAAGCCTCATTTTTCGTCGAAATTAATTTCACATTCACACGGACACTCGCTGACCGGGCAAATCTTATGCCTCTTGAACCATTCATACATATGTATAGCATGACCACCATGTCGACACGATTGACACCACGTAAACCATAGATCGAATTCCGATTGCTCTATTATTTTGATTTCCACGAAATTAAATAGACATCAGTATGATAAACATGTTCAACAGGAAAGAGTCATGAAGAGTTCGTAGAAATTGAACCCACTATTATTATTAAATTTAGGGAGTTTATTTTTGGCGATATCGGCTCGCAGATGGTCGTTGGCCGTTCCAAGACTAAGCAAGCAAATAGCACAACGTGGCAAATTCTTACCGCACATATGACAAGATGTCGTCTGCAGTCGGGTGACAGGCGGTAAGTGATGAATATTATGAACAAGCGAAATAAAAATTCAAACTTATCATGCCTTGGGCCTGGAATGCGCTCCGTGATTCGAAGGATAGGTTGGCATTATCGTCCTCCCTTTTACTCCGGGTATGTGAAGGCTATACGCAATACTACTATTACACTTGTTGCATCGAACATACACCTGTGCTGGTACGGGTTCCATTGCCTCCGAGGAACTCATCTTTTTACCGCGGGCAATGTCAAATCTGGCACGACAATGAAACATCTTCCATTTATCCAATAATGTCCTGTAACTGATTTTCCGTTAATGGTTAGGAGCGTGGCGAGAAAAAAATGCAACGGATTCGAAATAGTGAATGCGATTATGCTAAGAGAAAAAATTACTTTTCAATCCAATTGATGACTCGTTTATCGGCGTAACGACGTGACACACAAAAACTAAAAGCCAAGCTCGCGGTCTGAACGTCAGAAGTATTGTTCAAATAATTTTCAAATAATATTATTCCGTCAGGAGTTAATCCCGTCAAGATTACTCCAAAAATGTCTCCGGCTTTTTTAACAGCCTCGACTGTTTCATACAAATAGGCGCTCAGCTGGATTTTTTTTTGTTTGATGGAATCAGGTTAGAAAGAATAATTAATATACATGCGAAAAACTATGGAGAAAACATTCGTTACCTTATCATCATCCAGGAATCTCAATGCTATGCCAATACGATCTTGTAATCCAATTTCATCTTTTCGGAGTACATCATCCCATTGACCGGAAGCCATATATGAAAATATTGCTCGCAAATAAGGATCATCCATCTCAACGCTTAGCCTTTTGCATATTTCTTGTAAAAGCGGATTCTCTCGAGTTTCCTTTTTATTCAAAGCAATGCTGGCAAGAGTGGTTGACATTAATTTCAATCGTTCATCTTTAAAAAGGAATGAAAGAACGAATAAAATATGAATCATGTGAACATCAAACCAAGAAATCAATAAATAATTCATAAATCATGACAATTAATACCTTGACTATTGCCCAAAGCTTTTACGGCTCTCTCCGTCTCTCCATGGAAAAGGGCCCAACCTGCGGCTTTTTCGAAATTACCGGCCTTTTCCATTCTAATCATTTTGAATTCCATTTATGCAAACTTAAGTCGTCGTGCATCCATCTAGAAGGGTTATGTGACCTCGAAATAAAAATTCTTTCTAACCTGAGAAGCGTACTCTCTAACTCACTTTTTCCAAATCCCCACCCACATATGGCCAATGACAATTTTCGTTGCAGTAATTTGGAAGTGGGGACCATTATCATGTCGTTGTCATTTGGGGTTCTGGAATCCTCTCCTTCTTTGGGTTTCGGAGATGTCGATTCTTGAGATTGATTTTTTCCGGTGGCCGTTCCGACAAACGAAATTAGTAAGAAGTGTTATGGATTGATACAACATGCGTAAAATTCCGAATTACTTTAATTTCCAACCTGTCCACACTGAATAAACACCATGATAATTATATTCAACATTCTCAAATATTGCTTCTTTTCCATCTGCAAGCTTTTCAGCCACTGCAATTCGCGAAAAGGTGTACCAAAGTGTCTTTATTAGCAAAATTTCAAAGTCAAAAAAAAAAAAAAATATATATATATATACACAAATAAGAAGAAATGTTCTCTTACAAGCCATCCAGTTCCATAATGATTTTAACGCCGGTAACTCCTTCACAAGATCTTCATTCACTTGACACTGTCGAGTTAAAAAAATATTCCTCGAAATTCAACGATGTATCCACATTTATGATACTATCCATTGCTAACCAGGTGTAAACACTTACGTCCATAGAATACCCAGCCATGGCCCGTTTGCGCATCACCATAGAAATATCTTCCTGTATAAATTTCAATGTTTCTAACTTATCATCATCCATTTCTTCAAACAACACAACTTTCGGTTTCTGATTCGGGTTCGTTATGTCTTTGGACTGTCGTCTTACGATGGAACTTGAATCCTTTTTCAAATCTTCGGATCGTGGTGTACGATTTCCAGTGTCGCCCTTGACCAACGGATCATTCTGCTTAATAGGATGCCCATTTGTCGTATCACGACATTCCACGGATTCGAAGGGCTTCTGATTGAGCTCGATCAGATGAACCATGTCGTATATAGCTACATTGCCTCCAGGTCCCCAATTGAATAAAGGAGCTTCTTCCACGGATAAAACCCTCAACTCTGTGTCTTTATTTACACCCATGAAATGATTGCTTGACTTTGTTGTGGAGGTCGGTATCCACGAGAACAAAGAAATGTTTGCTGATGAATCGATAGCTTTGACTAGAAGAAAAAAATGAATGCCAACAGATCTTGACCACGATATATTGAGACATAGTGAAATTGACAATAAGATAAGCTGAAATATACCCTGCCTAGATTTCCATATACTCGGAATGCTAGATTCGTCATCCAGACTTAAATCTAATTTCAAAAGTGTCGGTCAGAGTTATCACCACCATCACCGCAAACCCTCATTAATAACTCTCACCGGAAGTTGCTGATCCTGCAGATGAACCTTCGTTCAGCACCCTATTTGAGTCAATGCCGCTGAGAGAAGAATTCCTGTTTAGTTGTGTTGACGCAAGAGGTGATCTGCATTCTTTTAGATCGTATAATGTTATGAAATTCGAATCTTTTTCCAGTGAGGCGAGTAAACCTGGACGTATTTTCGAAAATGAGATCTGACTGGACTTTGCTGGTATGGTTAATAAGTAATGGGATCAAAAATTGTTGATCAAGGATAACCATTGAATTTTTAGTTGAATTCATATCGATGTCCCGTACTTCAATTCCAAAAAGGATATTGGATCGGGGGTTTTACGCTCGTCCCATATACAAATATTTCCCTCGTCATAACTAGCAATACGATATTCACGATGAGGGTCTCTTGTGAGTCCGTAAACAGCTCTCGTAGGTATCGCATTAGTATGAAATTCCTCTACATTAAAAAAACTTGCGTTAAAAATGATTCATTATTAATTGTCAGCAATAACTCGACATACTTCTTAAGTCATAAAATTTTAAACTTTTCGTCGACACGCCTGATACTAATTTTGTCTTCGATGAAAACCAAGAGCAGGATATAATGTGATCCCCAAAACCAAATTGGTGTTTAATCTTGCTGCAAAAAGAGGAAAATGTGAGTTGTCAACATTTTATTAGAGAAAGATGAGTCTAACAAGACCAAATATTTACTTAGTTTCTATCGAAGGCTGCAAAATCACTAAATCATAGAATGAAAAAATGCATTGATTATTTTAAACAACATTAATTTCGCCAGAAAACTATTCATGTCCAACCTTGGCTATCCACTGTAGCTGCTATTCCTCGACTTTGTAAATTCAATCCATTGACACTTCCGTTCCTAGTAGGACCAAGAGAGTTTTGTATGTCGTGATCTTTACTGTTTTCATAATGATTTATACATTTGGCCTTTTCGAGATCCAATATCAACAGAGAATTTTCATTTTTCCACCTTTCATATCCCATCGCTAAAAGACGTGGTTCCACAGGACAGAACGCCACAACACTACACGTTCTAGCGGGCTTAACAGTATATGTGTCATAGGAGTGTTGGCGAGAAGAGAATCTCATAGATGCGTTTGTCAAAATCTCGTTCCCATCATAGAAATTTCCAATGAAGGTTTTGCCATTCGTATAACCCGAGGCTATGAGGCCCCTGCAGGTTGGATCGGAAGACCACGCGAAACACTAAATTGAAGATAAATCGAATCAGTCAATCCATTAAACGATCGAGTTTCCCTGAAGTAGCAAAGAAAAGTATAAATTTACAGACCGTCAATTTAGAAGGATCGCCGGGAAGGACTATAGTTTTAAAATTCAAATCCTCCGGCTCCTGAGAGAATAATTAACAATTCAGTCAAGAAATGATGCAACACTCGGAGGCAAATTCTTCAGGCGAACCTTTGGATTATATTCATATAACCTCAAATCATTATTAGAATCGACCAAAAATTGATTGGATCCTTCGTGAGGTGACCAAACCAGGCATAGTGGACGAGAAGACATTGTTTACGGCCAAATGCCACAAAACCTAAATATTTGATCTATATATACATTTTTTTTTTTGTATATTTGATGCCATATGATCTTTGTACTTCTTGCACTACAACCATCACATGAACAACAAAAATGTTTGCTGCCACGTTCAAAAAAGCAAACTCATTTAAAAAAACAAATATATTTTATTGCATATTATCAGTGTGATTAGGAATAAATTTTACGATTGATATGCTGTATATGCCTGAGAGGAAAAACCTGGCGTGTGCGCTTGCGACGGATATGTTTTCAAGCATTACAGTAATTGTGATTCTGCTAACATTATCTCTATTTTATGTGTTAAAGAAAAAAAACCTATATATATATTTTTTTAGATATTCATATCTACAGTATATTAATTTCTCTTTTGCTCTCATGGTCATAATTTATATGATACAAATAACGAGTGTCCGTCTCAAATAAAATTAATTCATGCAATTATTACTGTACGTATTATGTATATGTCGTCACCTATTGTTAAATTGCTTGTTGGGAAGCGAAGCAACGGTGACCTCTTTCATCGTGACAGGTCTTTCATTAAAGTTTTTACAAATCTCCTTCTAGATACAGTATTTAAAACATCCAGTGTTTTATAATGACGAATATCTTTTCTTAGACATTTTATTTTAATATACAGCATTAAACAATACTAATAAATAGATAGGGAGGTAGGTCATATTTGGTCCATTTTATACAAAATCTTTGCCATTTTCTTGATATTGCTTCCCAACCTTTCTTTACACTTTTCCATCTCTTCCCTTAAACCCTGCAATCTCGTCTCATCCGACGCCTCAAAATCCCCTTTGTCGACATTCGTCCGATCGATTCTCATCACCTGATCTCTTAAATTTTCCGCGGTTCTCAACCCAAGTTCCAATCTCAGCATAATTTCCATAGCCTTTTTCAACTCCAATTCATCTCTGCTGGATTTTGTAAAAAATCCCATTGAACCAAATTTCATTATGTAGTTCAACTGTACCAATAATCCCGTGATTTCAATCCTCAACCTCCTAATGCTTCTGGTATCGGTCCCACTTCTGTAGTGCCTAAGTAGTAAATCCAGTTCGGCCTGTTCCTGTTTAAGTGCTGCGGAATGCAATACCGCCCCACCCTTAAACCTCTTTTGAAATTGTCCCGGAGTGCTTTGTATGTCATCCAACTCGAATACCGAAAACATAGTAAGACCATCATCATTTTCACGCTCGCTGTTCTCCGCGTCACAGGTAAAGAGCGTAGAGTGAGAACGATAGGCCCATTCTTTCAAGCAACCCCAGCAGAACTCATAATGGCACATTCGGCATGTCATGTGCATGCATCCACCATTCTTCGATATATGAATTCGACAGTTTGGGCATGGTTTGGTGGAGATATCGGTATACGGCTTTCGTTGGGGAAGCCTACTAGGGAGGTTTACCGTGTGATTCGTGCGGAGGTATAAATCGTGGTCTGTGCACGTTGATGGCCAGTGACCGCCAATTAATTCACATGACGAGCACCAGGTCGTACTGCACCCGTAGCAATGAAGTAATGACGGGTTCTGTTGGAGGGATGGTAGTTTAACAGATATCGAGTGATTACATTTTGGGTTTATGCACCACCAGAATTTTTTGACCGATTGTTTGTGGATGTTAGTTTTAGGAATTTCGGGATGTTGTTGAAGTTGGTTGAAGGAATCGCCAAGGCAAGAATAGTATTTGTTGATTAACTGTTTAGAAAGTAATCGACCAAGAATTATGGGACTCACCAACGTCCTACATTTAATAGCTCCTGGACAATTCATCGAGAAAATTTGGTTCTCCGATATTTTAAGGGAAAGGTACTGAGTGAGACAGTCATTACATGTGCTGTGCCCGCAAGGCACAAAGATGGTAGTTTCCTCGGGAGGAAAGGTGTCAAAACATATTGCGCAAATCTTCTCCGCAACATCTTCTTCTATTACCTCTTTTACGTTTTCCAGAGCATTTTCATTAACACTTTTAACAACCGACCGTACGGTCCTTGTAACATCCCAAAGATTCATTCTCAAACAATCCCTGACCCTAGAAATGTCGATCCTTACGCCGGTCTCTTCTTCGACATGTTCGATAACTTTAAGCTCCGTCTCAAACTGAATGCCCATGATTCTGGATGGAGAATAAGAAGCAATTTGCCAATCAAATAGTATGTTTGGCCATTCACCAATCCAATATGAGGAAAAGGGTTGTTGGCACTGGTAAGATGAGGATTTTTGTTGGTAATTCCATAACCAACCTCTAGCCAATTCTATAATTTCAAAGATTGCAGGTTCTTCCAGTGATGCCAATTCTTTCGCTCTGTCTTTTAGGATTTTCTCCAAGTGTATTGGGCAATTCTCATCATTTACGACGGGGTCATTATCATCATCGGTCGAAGCTGGGGAAGAATTGGGCGATGATTGATCGATCGATAGCAAAGGACTAACGACAATAATTTCGAGAGGAACTGAAGGATATCCTAATGGTATGTTAAACAAAATCTGTATATATTGTGGTTCGACAATCGACATCTCATTTGCTTGTCGCTGAGAATGTGAACTTTCGGCGAATTGTCCCTCGTTGGATGACACCATTACTCCATACCAAACAGGCAACGCATTAGAAGTTGTAAAGTCATTGTTATATATTGTTTGCAAAACTTCTATCTCTTCGTGACTCATTATCTTGTTGAGAACAAAAAAAAAAAAATAATAATAATTTTCGTGTGAAGTAATTTATAATTTTACAAATTTTCGCGTTGACTTATATAGGAGTCAATTAAAACCAGTTGACTCATGATTAATCAATCGTTTATCCGCAGTTAATTTGGCAAAAGTCATCAATCATGCGGCGAATATATTGCAGGTTAGCACAACTTTATTAAGTACTCCCGCGACGATCACCATTCATGCTCAATCAAAATAAGAAAAATGCTCGGAGCATGCCTCCGACGAAACATTTACTTGTTACATTAAACCAACTAAATTACCCAGATAAGATGAACACCAATTTGAGCTAGCGGGAACTAATGAAATTTCGGATTTTTTATTCATTCCAATTCGATCTTGAATTTTTGGTTCCATGAAGTTTATTTAAATTTTTATTAATTGAAAAGATTCAAGTTACCCCAGAGCAAAAAGGATAACCCAATTTTATATACAGTATACCGTATATAGTGGATGTATTTTTTGAATGAATGAATGTAGTTAAACAAACAAACAAACTATAATAATTATGAATTTTGAAAAGGTTAAATATGCAGTATATTGATTGTTCTTTTTAAAGTTTGTTTTTTAAAGATAACCTTAAATACGTTATGCGTGACCTCTTTCTTTCTCTATCCATCCTAGAAACGTTTCGACACCACCCACGTTGCCTTTACCTAGCCTCAAATATTTTTTTTCCGGGTAAACTCACTCAGGGTGGTTTACATTATAGGCGTCATGATGATGCATAGTCAAGCGCTCCAAATTTTTCCTCCAGTTAACACCACCTTGGAAGCACCGGATATATCTGAAGCGGAATTCTAAAAATCAATGACACGCATTTAGGTTTCATCATCTAAAATAAGTCTATCATCAATACTGCATAAGGGTTACTGGTGGTGGTGCGATGCCTTGGAGTTAACGTGAAAACAATATCTTCGCCTTGTTTCTGTCGCTGTATTTGTACTATGTTCACGAAAAATCAATTATGTGTTTCAACAATATTTTGAACACGTTAGACATTTGCTTCTTTCAATCAAATTTAAATATTCACGATGTGAGATGACAGTTCAACTTTCTTGGCTTGACAGTAGATGTAAAAAAAAAAAAAAAAAAAAAAAAAAAAACGCGTAATTAAAATATCACAAGATTAAATTACATTTTGTACATTTCACATTCTCCGCCTATTTACTCTCCTCTCTCCATTTTTCACCTTTGAGGAGCACAATCACCAACAATAGAATACACAATAGATTTACACCCGAGGCAATGGTAAACACCCATCCTATGCTCGTCAGTTTATGTAATGGCACGGTGAAAACTGTTATTATGCCTCCAATTATAAATCTCGTCGAATTATTTAATGCAGTCACCGAAGAGCTCTTTGTCGGATTTATGTCAATCAGATAGGTTGAGTTTGCAATCAACAACCAATAAATTGCGAACCCACCTTTGTTTTGAAAGAAAAAGGTTATCATCATTATTGAACCCGGAAATTTACTTTTTTGAATATGAATGAATGGAAGAATTTCTCACCGAAATACATGGCGCCAATCGGAATAAGGACGAACCATCTTTCTTGGAGAGACCAACCGCACAACGGATAGACCAGCGGAACCAACGCAGCAGCGAACCAAATGCTATTTATTCTTCTCTCTGCGTGAAAGACTTCGCTATCGCCGGACGGTTTCGATTTCCTCAATGCTAAGTCGGAGTACATTCCGCCAACCAAACATCCTGCTATACAGCCCAGAGAAATAACAAGGAATACCATTATCGAGTCATTAATTGACAAATTATATCTTACAACAAAAATGTATAGTAACAAAGTGTCTTGAAGGTATAAAATCTGCGAGACGCTGATTAAGTATATTATGGTTAAAAAGGTGTTTGGGTGATAGAGTGATGATAATGGGGATAGGGGATTAAAGAATCTTTGATTTTTTGATTTTGAAGGGGATGGTGGCCTGTCGAACGAATGCGATAGAGGATGAGTCGTCGTGGTCGACGAATGTAAAGGAGTATGGAATGTTTCGGGAAGGGAGAAGGTGAATAAGAGAAGTATCAGCCCAATCATGGAACAAATGCAAAACACCCATCGCCAACCAAAGTTAGATCCTATCAATATTCCCATCATAGGCCCTATCATGTAACCTGTTAGGTAGCCCGAGAAAAAAATTCCATAGGCGAATCCACGTTCTATGGAAAATAAATGGACACGTTTATTCTCACGCTCGTTACCTCTCAGCTTGAAATCTGATTATAGTGCGCGCTTGATTTACCTATGGGTATATATAAATCACTTATCATGCCAGCACCAACGCACAGAACCGCTGAAATTCCACATGCTTGAAAAACTCGCGTTATCATCAACGTCCAAAAGCTATTGGATAAAGCACACGTGATGCTTGCGACTCCATAAAATGAGAGGGACATAAAATATGCGCGACGTCTTGTCCCATAGTTGTCTGAATAGACTGCCCAACCAAGTGACTGCAAAGTGAGGGAGGATCAATAATTTTGACATGCGTTTGAAGGGAGAGACAAGAAAGCCTACCTACCGTAATTCCCACAAAGCAAAGATATATCGCAACTGTGGATTTCGAAATGTTATGAAATTATTATTAAAGTTTGATTTGATTAGTAATGTGAAAAAAAAAAAAAACTAGATTAAATTTGTCCCTCCGGATCTAATTGTCGTTGACTTCGTACCTATAACATCGGCAAATTCTTCGGTGAAATCGAATTCGTTACTTACCATCGGTATCACCGGATAGAATATCCTGGTCAACAGAACGCATTACCCATTATGACAAGAGAATGATCATTATTAATTTGCATAACATTGGGCTTCCTCAGAATCATTATCAAAAGAAAAAGGGCATACGTGTGAGAAAGTCCCACCAGCATTCCCCCAAAACAATTGAATAGCAGCACCAGATATTTCTTTGCCTTGTTCCACTGTTTCGGATCATTCTCATCATAAATCTCTTCTATTCCACGTGGTTTTATGGAGGTAGGGGAATTGGGCGCGCTGAGGTCAACATCAAGTAAGTTGCCGGGATCGCTTACAATCGTTTGATCGCCATAGTAGCTAGAGATTCGAAGCGGATCATTGTTTTCTTCATCGTTTTTATATCGTTCAAGCGATGACATTTATGAATATAAATGCCCAAAAAAATTTTTGGTACGATTTTCTATGTGTAAAACAATTGAGATGGTCTTGGTTACATGCAAAAGAAATAAGCGATGACAAAGTTTATGCATTTATACACAATAATAGTGAGTCCATTTCTGTATGAAATGGTTATATATAATGCTCACATTGAAACTTTTCATGCCCATCGTTCCACGATGCGAACACCGCCAAACGTATATGATCGGTATTGTTTACTGGATGGAATCATTGGGACCATAGATTTCTTTACAAATAATTCGGCGATCACAAAGAATAGATCAAATTGTAAATATGAAATTCTAATCGTGGCTAAACAAAGAATCTTCTTGACAAAAGAAATTAAAATTTGAGGCACTGTATGAATGCTCTTTGGAAGGGTAATACCGATTGACTCAATTTTCATAAAAATTTTTCTCGGCTGTGTGGTGGCTATGTTATTGAATCGAAAGGATTGAATAACGGCGGTCATGTGATGATTACTTTCAAAAATGCATAATCCAAAATTTGGTATGATTATGAGCCGCGAGAAGGATTTATGTCATCTCTATGACCTTTTGCCATTCGAATTTGTGAATTTCTCGGCTGTGCTTCTGAGGTGGCTTTAGCTGTTATATTTCTCAATTTACCCTGCAAAATAAGCATCCCTTCTGAAAAAGCGAACTTTTTTGGCGGAAAATGAAAACCTACGGGCGCGTGATTCTGAATGTTGCACGCACGTGATTTCTTTTGTAACATGGTTCTTATCTGGCTTACTATCATATAACGCGAGGCTATTAACAGTTGTTTAATATATCGCAACTGAGTGTTGTATATTCAGGATAGATGTAATATAAAGCGTATGTGATGCGCACAATAAGCTTCATTTTGACGCTTTATTTTATATTTTTTTTTTTCACATCATAATCGATATGCTTGATATTTTTTAATTATTTTCAAAGACATTTGTTAACATACCTTTTCCGCCTTACAATCATAATTATAAAGTATTCAAGACAACAACTTATTTCACTAATGATTTATTTAACGGCCAAAAAAATATAAAGTAAACATAGCAATCGATGTCTGATACAAGTATTGCAGGGAATAAAATAGCTCAGGATACAATGAATCTTTTTTTTTTTTTAAAAAAAAGATGTTTTACTGTATATTCATATATGTTTATATTCGCATTTGTAAAATTCAAAACGTCAAAAACTTGAAATGCGCAATAAAAGAAAAATAATTATCAAATCATTTTAACAATAACAAATAAATATTCTTGGTCTTTAAAGAAAATGAAAATAGTATAAATATTATAGGAAAGAAAAGGTTGGAATAGAAGTATCGTAAATCCAAACCAAAGAAGAAAAAAATTACAATAAGGTTTAAGTCAAATAGACAATAAATTATTGTTAACAAGAGTAAAAATGGTGGCTATACTAATAATACCGCTTATAATTCTTTTTTTTTTTTTTTTTTTGTTTTTTTTTAACCCGCAGTCAGGTCAGCATGGCTTGTCTTTATTGTATATATATCAGATATTTACAAATTATTTTGA